GCCTCGTCAGAATTCAAATGCACAGCTTGAATCGTCAAGATATTCAGCGCCGAAGATATAAAAAAATTGTAGAAAATCACAATGTGCAGTCTGATTAGAAACCGACAAGTGCTTTCTTGTGTGTAAGAGAGAGAGAGAGAGAGAGAGAGAGAGAGAGAGAGAGAGAGAGAGAGAGAGAGAGAGAGAGAGAGAGAGAGAGAGAATATCTGATAAGATATTTTTTACATCTTGTCTTCTTACATATCGAGAAAGATTTATTTACAGCAAAAGAGTAAGAATTATATACCGCAGAAACATCACTACTTCTACACTCTGTTATAAATTTCATCATCTCTACTTTATATACAGACATACGCTGTACACGCATGGGCGTATATTACGTATTCATACGTATAGTCAAACACATTGTTGACATTTCTCGACTTTTTACCGCGTGTTCAGCCAGCGTGTAATCCTAATCGTTCCACGTGGCGATTAATCGTATGCGATCGCTCATATGCGGCCGATGGACGATGGGCGACGCGAAAGGATAATTGCAGCGCTACCTGGCAGCCGCTGTGAAACAATAATTTAGCGGATAAGAGCCGAAGGTGAGTCGCTAAGCGCGCTAGATAGAAACCCGCCTGCGGTGGCAGCGAGAGCTACAAATTATTTATAGGACGGCGCGCGGATGCCGCAGCGCACGCAGCGGAGCTTTTACGCGATTACTCGATGAAGCGTATAATCTGACTTTGTCGTCTTTATGGCGCGGTACCGTTTTTATGGGGTGAGGCGAGGTCGTAAGTGTCAGGTGGAACGCGTATTAGGTCCTCGTCGGGCCGCTGCGCCGCGGAGAAGCCGCGTAAATTTCGACGCCGTGAAACGACCCGACGCGGTGCACTCGTGTCGTGCAAATCCGACCTGGGCTTCTTGTTTCTACTATGTTAAACAAGCGTACTGGACAAACACATGAGTAAATAACGCGCGCGCGCGCGCGGATTTGATCCGGAGAATTTCGTCGAGGAATCAACGTGCGACCAGCGTGACGGTGATTTTTTGTAAATCTTTAGCGTGGATCTCTCGGCGACTTGCAGATTAGCAATGGCCGGCACGTTTTTGCGGATCTCTGGAGAAACGAGATCGTGCAGCTCGAGAACTCACGAATACTCACGAAACACGAGGTCCGTCCGCACGCATGGTCGTCGCCCGTACACACGCCGCGCCCCGCTCCTCACGCTCCAATTGATTCACGGTAGTTTATTCGACGGCCGAGCGCGACGACCGGACGCGTGTAATATGTGTGCCACGTTAATTGGAATTCAATTAAGGAGAACTCGGAACGTACTCGGGATTGAGCATTACGCGTCGTTAATCTTAGGCATTACGGCGCGTCCGAGGGACGCGCGTCGATTTTATTATTCCGAGCGAGGACACGCGGAGCGTGTCAGCGCCGTCGGGATGTGCGTTTAAATGCAATTTGTATTCGATTATTCCGTCAGCTTATCCCCGCGATATCCCCGCGCGGTCGGGATCGCGGCTGGTCGTAAAACGCGATATTACGACATTTGTACCGCCATTTGTAGTGCCCCGTAATGAAATAGCAAACGGTCGCGTTTTCGCTTTGTGCGACATTCAAGTCAAGGATCCACTTTACTTCTAATGTCCCGCGGATATTCATTGGATGCTTCTGAGTATCGCCGTGGGCTGCATGTTTTAATTCAGATATTGCCTTCGAGATATTGCCGTCTTTATTTATTCTTCTTTTATTATGAAAGAAAAAATATTTTTGCGGATAGACATACAAATCGCACGATACCCGACGCGCAAACAGAAAGTTTCGACTCCGAAGAGAGAAAGAAAAAGAAACTAAAAAATGTGTCGCGTCGCGTGTTCGTTGCCGCGCTGCCGAGACTGCTGTTGCGGATCCGAACAAAGCATAACGAAATCCCGTATGTTTATCTCTGACAACTTTTCCCACGGAGCGGTGATTTCGTACGACAGGAAGCGACAGTGACATCGACTACCTCCAAAAATCTGAATATTACGGGACATTCGTGGACGTAAGCTCGGAGGGGACATCTGAAAAAATAGAGGAAGCACCGAGTGCGCGTGACACTAATTTGCTTAATTAAACTGTCGCTTTATCCGAGCCGACGGGCCGTCTCGTTAATAATATACAATCTCCCGAATCTCTCACGAGGCGAATGCCGATCGTCAGGCATCCCCGGCGGTGTCGTGCTTAATTCGATCATCGATCGTCCAGCGTGGATTCCATGCGCGTTCGCGTTTTAACGTCTTACCTGAGGAGAAGAGAGAAGGAGCGAGAGCGAGAAAGCGAGAGAGAGAAGAGCTCCCGACAATTCAGCGTCGGATCACGATCGATACGATTGACGGTGATCTCTCTAGATCGCGGACCACTTCAGAAGAAGAAGAGAGACGGCAGGAGGGAGGCAGAAGAGGAAGGACGAAATCGGGAGAGAGAGAAAGCGAGAAGGCGACAGAGATGACGGGCTACGGCCGTCGTGGCAGTGTGTGTGTGTGTGTGTGTGTGTGTGTGTGTGTGTGTGAGGCTTTAATTAAGGGAACATATTGCCACTAATATATGACGAACAGTGTCAATCTGTCAGGCTACCAAAAGACACCGCTCTGATAGCGGATCCTAGAGAGCGGTGCAGCCTATTGGACACGCTATCTTCGATTTGGTTGTCGCGGCCAATCACCCGGAATTAATACATCGGACGGCTAACCGAACGAGTCACTGGGCCCAGCCTCGCCTGTTTTCGACCTCGGGTTCACCGCGCGCTATCCGTGAGGGTGGCCGTACCTGATCCTGACGTGATGAGAGCCGATCGATCGATCGATCGATCGATCGATCGGCGACGCTGCGCTCTCGTGACCGAGAGGTGAAATTCGTTCGCGTGTATGTCTGCTGTTTGTTTCCCACAGTCCGCAAACGCGCGGAATGGCAAGCCATTCCGCATTTATGTAATATCCGAGACGAAGAGGACGCGCGCGTCTCTCGAGCGAAGTATCGTGCTCTCGGGGCAACGTACGAAAGTACGAAAGTCGCTTTCGAGAGCCGAGTCGGCGTTAGATGCGGTGGAATGTGATAAAAGGACACGTAAGTCCTCTCGCGCGCGTGAAAGGTGCGATAATGACAGCGCGTGTGTCTTGACTTTTCAGCGGAAATCGCTGACGGACAGGCGGGTTAGGTCCAACTGTCGGAATCGGACGTGTGCGATATCGCAGTTCGTTGAACTTCAATCTCTCAGCGTTACCGACCAATAGGATATTCTCGCCCGCAATGACGCGGCCGCATTATCATTATTATCATATTACTACACGCTGTTATTTGTGGCACCTTGTAGTTTGATTTCATAGTCGTATACGTGTCGAAACAGTTCCAACATTAGAGACAGTAGTCATTATCCGTCTATCTTTCTCTCTCTCTCTCTCTCTCTCTCTCTCTCTCTCTTCCTTTCTCATTCCCTCCCTTGCCCCACCCTGCTCTTTCTCTTTTTTTCTCTCTCTCTCTCTCCCTTTCATTCTCTCTTTCTCACTATCTCTCGTTCCTAACCACACCGAAGCTGTACATAATCTAGGATCTACCATTAAGGTTAATTTAAAAATAATTACCGCCCATTCGTCCGTATCCTGCCTCGAAAAAGCGGCACAAAAAACCTTAAGAGACGACGCGGGAAAGAAAAGCGGCGAGAATCCAAATTCTACAGCGGCGTAGAGCCGCGTCGTAAAACGTAACAGCACAGGAATCGCGTGAATAGCGCAAAGAACGCAGACGTGTTCTTGCGCAAAATAATAACAACCTTCGAGAGATCAGGCCCGATTTAAAGTACGTTCTTGCACGTGCGACTGGATCGAATTCGGGTGTAATTCAGCGTAAAAGCGCAAACCATTAACGACGAAAATAACGCTGCGCCACTTTTTCCCGGGATAACGGTCGATTGTTCCGAGGGAAAAACACGAAAATACCAAGGCCATTGTCGCGTTTTTACTCGCGCTAATACACTCGCGTTCCGCGCTATAGAGCGGTCAAACGTCAGCCTCCACACGCGGCGAGGCCCCCTTAAAGGCCCCGCACGTAGAAAGGTCCTTAAAGGTCCTAAAGGGGTAGCCCCCATTCCGGAGGTGTGTGCCGATCGGGCACCGGCATTTAATCGTAACGAATCGCCCTCAGGGCCCGTAGGGGAGTGTGTAATCGACATCCGGTTCGCCTAATGTCGAACGAGTAGCGCCCTGTAATCTGTCGCTAGTGTGTGCATTGTCGTGCGCGGGGCCCCTTTCAGGAGCGAGAAAGGGGCCCCATGGGATCCCGAGATCCCTTTCTCGGCGAGAGAGGGCGAGGCCGGCCGCTGCCCGGAATAGTGTCTGCTCCCGTGCCTGCGACCTTGCGCCCGTGACTCGCGAATAATGCGAGACCGGCCGGATTCGCGAATTTACGGGATCGAGCGCGCGCAGAAGACTGCGCTCGACTTGCGGACGTCCGTGGCTGCTCGTCGAGGGACAATATACGTAGACAATGTCACGGAGAAATTAATTCGGCGCTTGAGCGCCGAAAGACGAGACATTTTTTCTTTCTGAACGAAGTTCAGAATAATCCGTCCCGTCTCCGACCGTTCCGTTGAGTAAAAACAAATGCCGCATGGATGAGAAATAATAATTATAATAGAGAGTGAGCGGCGAGCTCGTTCGTTCAACATATTTGCGCGTTGCGATCTAACGCGTTGACTGCCGTGTTGAGTGCCGCCATTGAGCAGTTTCCCGCCAAGAGCCCGCAAGCGATCACTGAATTACCGAAGACACGGCAAATGAAGGCAATTCGAGACGCGTGTATCTTTTTATCTCGTTTCGTCGATTCTTCAAACGCGATCAATTGCACTTTATCTACGCGGCTCAAGGAGACGCGGTAATGTCACGGTGATCATCGGTGACCATCGCGGCATTCAACGCGCTTGATTATCGTTGAGAATTCATTGTTCAGTACGACTCAGTGTGTGCCTTACCGCGCAGCAAGATCTTCTTCAGGGACCTCCTCACGGTCGTGCAGTTCCACCTTCGATTTCGGAATTGGTGCTGACATTCCTTGGTGCCGACCTGGATACCTTTCGCGATTTCCTTCAGCAAGGACGGCTCCTTGCGACAGATGTCGGCGAGCTTCCCCTTCAACCTCCTCGTCTTCTTGCAGACGAGCATCGGATCCATCACCACCTGGCTTCCTACCGTCCTGCGAACGCGAACGATTTCTTTTACGATCACAATAAGGATATCGTTCCCGCCGATCGAGAGTTCAAATATGACAACTATCACACGCAGCGTGGTCCTCGAATGACAATGAGAACGAGTCTATTTCGCAGCGTGGGAGAAAGAGGGGGGAAAGCAATAAGAGATTGAGGCGCGTCAGGCGCTCGAGCGTCTAATTGATTTATTCGCGCTTGATACTCGAGGCGACGTTACGGTCGCCGAATCGCCAGCGGCCCCGCGAGTGCTCGACGTCGTCGCTCTCCCCGAGTCACGACACGCGCTGGAGAGTAAAACGCTCGGAATAATTTACGGAAGCTACAAATCCCGCGGCGTGACGTCGGCTAAGTTGCTGGTTATTTAGCCGCGCAATATCTTTCCGCGCGCGCGCGCGCGCGCGCGAGCGAGCGAGCGAACGAGCGCGCGATGTGGGAAAAGAGACGGTCTCGCGCGCGAGATTAAGCGGAAGCTCCTTTCCCCGATGGCTCCTCCGCTAGTTGCAGCTCATTCGTCCCCTGCTGGAGAGGCCGCAGAGTCTCTCTCTCTCTCTCTCTCTCTCTCTCTCTCTCTTTCTTTCCGTCTCTCGGCGGCTGTCTGTGCACCGAGCCTACGAATGGCGCAGCCCTGATCCTCGCGATTAATCGCCCACGTTTGGATCCAAATTTATTTCTCCTCTCGCGCGCGCGCGAGCGAGCCTCGTAAATCAGCCTCGTGCAGCTCTGCTATTTACAGAGAATTCGGATTTACCACATCAGCACCGGCCGAATATGAGAGATTCGTCATCCCTAACGAATTCCCCCGAATGCCACGGGCTTCCCGTGTACGTCGCGCGTGAGTAATTAGATCGCGCTTCTGTCACGGCCTAAGGCGACGACTGGACTTCGGGGGACGACGCGAAGTCAAGTCGCTCGGGGAATTTCTCCACGAGGGCCTTCATTCGTGGAACGTAACACGACTAGGCTCGTCCAAGGCTAAGCGAGATTAGACAAGCTGGCGAAATTTGCTGTAGCTTTCGATTTCTTCTCTACTGTTTGCATCCGTATGTATCGCAGACGTCGTCGACGGAGAATGTTGATGCACGCGGAACTTGATCACGGCGATTAATGATCGCGAGCGGTCTTCGGAAGAAGGCGATGAAGAGTGATAGGCTGGAATTGCGATTGCCGCGCGGAAGGGAAGGAGGAGGTCTCGCGATGTCGCGCTGTGGCTTGCAGCGTGGACACCGGCGGGGAAGCCGACGAGAAGTAGGCGGGAGGAAGGAGGAAGGACGATTACACCGCGAGCGGTATATGCAGGTACGACATCTACTCGAATCCGAAGACGCTAACGCCATTACGATAATTAAAGGTCCGGCGTGTTGCACTCGTGGCGACATAACCAATCCCACGGGGGAAAAATGAAGACATAGGGAGGAGGAAGAAGCGACGAACGTTACTGAGGAGAGAAGGTGAGCGGCGCTCCAGAAACGGAAAGAACAGCCGCGCACGCGGCGCGGTGGGGTGCGAAGAGGAAGAGGCGCGGAATGAGATGAGCAGGTGGATAGAAAGAGAGGACAACTGGATGATTGCACCGAGCTTGCGAAAGAAGAAAGAAACGAAAAGAAGGAATGAGGCGGAATGGAGGCCGGGTGAACTACGAGCGGTGGGAACCACGAAGTCGGGGACGGACGACTCGAGGACAGAGGAGCACCGGTGGAAGGACGAAGAAGAAGAGATGGAGGAGGAGGAGGAGGAGGAGGAAGAGAGAAAGAGGACGAGCAGAAAGAAGCACGGATGAGCGCAGGACGAGCATGAAGGCAGAAAGGTAAAAAGAGGAACGGAGGGGACGCTGGCAGGGTTAAGGGGTGACGAGGACGGGGGGTTGGGAGAGGAGGGATGACGGGGGAACGGAGAAGAAGAGAAGAAGAAAGAGGACAGTCCGGACGACCTTCGTTACGAAACGTTAATTAAGATCATTAGTTCTGCGTCGGTAGGATGCCGGGGCGCGTACACGACGGCCTCTCGGGAATGCAACGACCTTAATGGCAATAATTCCGTTAAGGACGGTTGCTCGCGCGTCCGTGTACGCCGTCGCCGTCGTCGTCGTCGTCGTCGTCGTCGTCGCAGCCGTTCCCGATGCGCCTTCGCCTCCCTATCTCCCTCCCGCCCTCCCGTCTTCTTCAGTCTTCCCTGCTCACCAACTTTTCGTTCTGCACGAACGGGGATAAGAAGCCGGAGGTAATGCGACGCGGAGAGTCGTGCACGAGAGTGACATCGTCATTTGGGGGCGAAGGAGGAGATTCCCTATTGCGCTCGAGTGACGATGGAAGGGAGGACGGTAAGAGAAGAGCGGATGGGAATTCGCGGGAAATTTCTCCGATCGAGAGAGAGAGAGAGAGAGAGAGAGAGAGAGAGAGAGAGAGAGAGAGAGAGAGAGATGAGGGGGAGATCGAGGGTTGCAGCGGAATCGTGCCGGAGATATTATAGACGCGGGAAAGGAACGGAGAGAGGAAACGCGGAAGAGAAAAAAGGAAGAAGAGCAGCGGCGGCGGTCTCCCTCTCTCTCTCTCTCTCTCTCGTCGGAGCAAAATATGGTGCATGTTACGTCCCGCGGGACGATCAAGACTGCTGACAGAGTACATGTCGCGGGGACCTCGACCCGTCGATATTCCTGTTAAGGCCCCTGGCCCCGATAGAGTCTGACGGACGACAAGCACCGAAGCTTCTTCAATCTGCTGCGTGGGTTCTCCGGAACGGCATGGCGACGCCATGTCGTGAGGAGGACGTTCGCGTAAAATGTATTGAGATCTTTGCGAGACCGTCGGCGTGTGTTCAACTCTCGAGGATACATTTGCGGTGTCAGTAGTGTCAGTAGGGCTACGCGCTGTTAACCTACTGCAATTTTTTCATAAAGCTCGAGGAACGCCGTAATGGCAGCTTTCGGATTTTAAACGCAAGTCTAAACTCTCGCCATCGCTAGTTTCACTATATGTCTTAGAGCCAACAGACGTTGTCGCGGCGATCTTAAAAAGATTTTATAGAAAAAGAGTTCTGTAAAAAAAACGTGTGGATATCGATTGCAGTATCGTGACGTGTTTCGAAATTTTGGAGATTTTAAGCGCCGTTGGGGAAGCTTTGGAGGATCCTGAAGAATACAGACGCACACAAGTTCCCGTATGTCTTTTCCTTCCGAGGTATCTCCGATACGCGTCATCGAGCGGTTTCCAACGATGACGCTCTTGGCCTTCTATTGGCCTGAATCTCATCGGGGAAAAGAAGTCGGGTTACAACGGCGAGGTCGCGCGTGTCTGCCGACTTCGTCGCATCGCGAAAGAGGAGGAGGAGCTACGACCAGCTGGAAATTAGAAGTCGCGAGATCTTCCCGGAACTCGCGCATCACGCACTATTTCTCGAGCCGGCGTCAATCTGCGCGAGGGAATGCGACGAAACTCGCAGGCGCGAGATAATGGACGAGCGACATGGATGTAGCTCTTCCGAGAAGCCGCGCTCGCGAACGACGCACGCGAGCGAGCAGAAGTTAAACATTGTGTGTTAAGCGCGCGGATCATTGCGATGCGCAGGAGTGTTACGGCGAGTTTGACGCGGGGGAGAAGAGCGCGAGAGCGGGGGTGATACGCCTGCGGAAATAAGGACGGACGTTTACGCGCAACCTTATACATTTTGCTTGTACAAGCTTGTCCAAATAAATGCCCGCGGAGCACCGCGTTTTATGGGAACCTCGAAATACGCCACGCGCATTTTATTTCTGACTATATGGTCGCGATGCGTTCGCTGATACACCGGCTGGCCGAATCGTACCTCCGCTGCCGCGGGAGAGATTCAGCTGGATCGAACTTTTGTCCGTGGAAGAAAAATCGCTCACGATCGCCTTTCCGCGAGCGTCGCAGCGCCGCCGATCGACGACGCGAACGCCGCGATTTCGGCTGAAAACGAGGGGCCAAACAATTTAAAGATAGCAGCCGACAATTCGTAGCCAAAGAACGCCGAGGGAACGCAAGTTGAAGCATGCAGCACTCGCCTCGAACTTCGGCAATTCATCACGACGTCACACATCGCTCTATTTTCATCGGGTCGGTAATCCCCGATGGCGGTTTCCGGCGAAGAAACGGCATGAACGCGGAGAGATAGATAGACGGAGAGAGAGAGAGAGAGAGAGAGAGAGAGAGAGAGAGAGAGAGAGAGAGGCAGCAATGCGAAGACGCAGGCTCTAGCCGACGCGGAGGTTTACTCGACCTTTTGACTTCAAAGCCCGTTTCCTAGTGGCCGCGCGCATCTCACCCCGTTAGTCAAATAAACGCAGCAGGACCGCTGCGCGTCGATACTAAAAGACCAATCCCCGAGGCGGATAATAAAGTTACGACGTTATTGCAAACACGTCGCGTTTGACGAGCGCCGCGGACATTTCGCACCCGCGCCTATTAATATCGCCGGAGGCGAGCTAATGGGAATTGGAGTGGTCAGGGCCTACGTTGCCATTCGTCTCCGATTTCGTCTTCCCGTTTGCCGATTGCGATTTCGTAACTTTCTACGGGTTGAATGCTCGATCGAGAATCCTGACCGTTTTTCACTCGAGATGATCGCCGGGCGTCGAGAAATGGATATTTTGGACGAGTAAAAGTGACGAGAGGTATAGAACGGGATTCTTTAATTAATATTTCATACGAAAAGGATTCTTTTGTAAGCGACATGCGACTTGAATAGAAAGGAAAACGTGGAGGAAAAGAGAGGAGAGAGAGAGAGAGAGAGAGAGAGAGAGAGAGAGAGAGAGAGAGAGAGAGAGAGGAAGGGAGAAGGAAAGAGACATCCGAGTAAATTCTTTTGCATCTGTTGCGAATACTCGTGACGTCATATAATAATCGCAGCGCCGCGCGCGAGCGTGCACCGCTAATTCCTCGGCCACAGCAGCGAGTTACCGCGTGGTGGCGACGCGTCGAATTTAAATGCACGAGGCCTCACGGTCCCGCCGTCACGTTGTACGCCTGTATCT